ACTATAGACACACGGACGCTTTCCTGGGAACCACCATCGCGATACTTAGTTCTCGTGGTGGCTGGCTTGCCGGTGTGTAACCAGACACACAGCCCGAGTCATCGCGTTCAATAATCTTGGAAAACGCGAGGAGGCGTGAGAACGGTCTTATCAAGGCCGCGCGTTTCACAGACTTCAGCATTAGATTGATGTTTGCTGGAAGTTTCCAGTGCAAGCGAAACTCGCCAAGCATGCACTCCTATCGCTTTACTTTCGCAGTGGGAGTCCGAACGGCGGATTTCATTAAGACGCAATGTGACCAGTTCTGCGGGTCACTTCTTTTTGGCTCTCCGTGTTGGCAAAGAAAAGCCAGTCGCATTGATTGAACCTCTAGTGTGTTAGCCACGTCCTCATTTAACGTCGTTTTATGAGATAAATTCCGATATTAAAACATCGTTGATGACACCACCTCTTTCGACACGCTGCTTTCCGCGAGCCGTGTCAAAAGTACAATTTTTCTTTGTCCGCAATGCATACTCCAAAGCGAAATTACACTCTACTTCTAGCCTTTCATTTGTCTCCATACAAAAAGAAAATCCGATTGGCTTCAAAAGATAGCCGTCACATCCCCGTTTAATTAAGGATAATTATTTCATAGCAAATAGATGTGCCACGACAATATTTCTGTTGCAATAGAAAATATTGAGTACTCTGAAATAAATCTGTGTAATATTGACGCATTTACCGACAGTTCACCGTTGGTCGCGGCAGAAAGGGTTGAGTGCCCGTAAAACTACACAGTTACCGGCAGTGCTGGGAATAAGCAGGTTATTTCATGCGTGCCGTCCCAACATTCCCATTTATTTTGTTAGCTGTTTTATATACTATTCCAACTCTTGCATTGTGTAATTTTTGTCAGATAACAAAAGTGCCACTGCGTGCGCGTGATCGTGCAAAAACGCCAACATTGTAGAATGTGAGAATGCTGCTAGTTTTTGCAGCGTGCAGAACAATGCTCGTAAAGTAAAAACCTTGGATTAACGTAAGGAATACGATAACACGGCATTGAAAATAAGCCCACATCTAATTTAGCAGAGAGCATTTCTGCACTTGATCAAGCCCCACGTAAAATCCTACACATAGGCAGGAAATCGGACGAAAAATTCTGTTTCCTGACTATATCTATATGACTTCACGTATAGACTTGATAGAAAGTGAATATTCTCGTTCCCCTCGAGAGGATGTTATTGTGAACGCCATATCATCGTAATAATTGAGCCTAAATTCAATTTCCTGGATATAACCAGGAAGCTAAGTAGTAAAAAATGTATACTTTCCTGGTTATACCTGGAGTTACAAGTCAATCTTCAATAAGAGCAATGCGCGCCGCAGATAACTACGCATTAAATTTTGCAGCTTTTAAAGCAGGGAAGAAAACGGGCACATGGTACGTATGAAAAGAAAGTGATCTCACTGCTTTCTTGACGTGAAATGTATTCATTGCCAAAAAGAACAAACTTTCGAGATTTTGAGCAGGAGTTTCACCAATTACTCCTCCTGAAAACTAGTGCCTTAAACATTGACCCGAACATTCTTAAATGGATTGAATGCTTTCTGACTAATCGCACTCAGTTTGTAACAACTAATGGTTATAACTCACCTCTTTCTAAAGTAACATCCGGTGTACCCCAAGGTTCCGTATTAGGCCCTTTACTCTTTCTTATATATATTAATGATCTCCCAGACAGCATTAACTCCGCTATAAGGTTATTTGCAGATGATTGTGTAATTTACCGCGAAATAAACAATGAATATGATAACCAATTTCTACAGTCAGACCTTGACACTGTCTCAACCTGGTGCAATAAATGGCTTATGACTCTCAACTCTAACAAATCTAAATGCATGTCAATAACCCGGCGATCTATTTCTCCCCCCTGTACCTACAGAATTAACGCCGTTCCCCTCCAGCATGTCTCTTCATATAAGTACCTCGGCGTTTACATTACCAACAATCTATCTTGGCACACGCATGTTACCTACATCTGTAATAACGCTAACCGAACGCTAGGATACTTACGCCGCAACTTTTCTCGCGCTCCGCTGTCCCTCAAAATTCTATTATACCGATCACTAATTCGCCCAAAGCTTGAGTACGGGTCCGCTATATGGGATCCCGTGCAGCAAAATTTAATTAACGCGTTAGAATCTGTTCAGAACCGCTCAGTTCGGTTCATTTGTTCTAATTATTCCCGTACTGCTAGCATATCAGAAATGAAATCTAACCTTGACCTACCCAATTTAACTGTCCGGAGGAAACTGGCGCGACTGCATTTTTTTCATAAGATATTTTTTCACAATCCATCAATGAAGCGAGACCTCATTTCACAACCGTCATACCACTCATCGCGCATTGACCATCCGCATAAGGTTGCCATTCCGTTTTGCCGCACCAAATTCTTTTCAGCAGCCTTCTTACCGAAAACAGCCGCCGATTGGAACCACCTTCCCTCTTCCGTTGTATCAATAACAGACCCTTTGTTATTCAAGACTGCAATTTCTCAGCAATGCTTGTAACTATACGCAGTTTCCATTATCTATCCTTGTCTTGTATGTGCTTGAATTCTTTACATTTTTAGTTGACTTCTGTTGCCTTCCTGATTTGCGCATCTGATACTTGTTTCTTTATTTCGTCTTTTTTTCTTGTGTGTTATATATGTTGTACCCACCCCCTCTGTAGTGCCCTACGGGCCCTGAGGGTATTCTAATAAATAAATAAATAAACACTGCAGAGGTGACATTAGATGCGGGCTCCTGTTAGCACAAAGGATAATATCTGTTGTATGTGGCTGTCCATTAACGAGGGATCTTATGTGCCGATTCGCCACGAATAAACTACATAGTTTCCTTATGTGGACACCTTGTGACGCACTAACGAAAGGACAAGAAATTTCAGATATTAAAAAAAGCAGGCTATGACGACAGCAGCGTGACGGGTTACAACCACTGGATACATAACAGCAGACTGCACAAGATACGCCGGCCCACATCTAACACGTACATAGTGACAAAGTATTATGCCTCAAGACTAACGCTGTATGTCACACGCAAAAAAAAAAAAAAACGTTGCCTAAGTTTCTGTTAGAAGGGCTGGCTTATCTTTTTTTATTTTTGGTGTGTATATTTCGGAATCATTTTTATTTTGTCATATACTTGCCAATCAGATGAACGTCAAGGGTTTGTTTTTACACTTAGTTGACGTCCTAAGAGCATTTGAAGATTACGGTCTACCTTCATTTTTTTTTTAACGCTCCTGCCTTCTAACTATATGCTTTTTCGACACGCGTGCCCTTGAGTGAGTAAAGTAGTTTGAGACGAAACTACAAATTTGTGGCTGCTTAGTGCATACCAAGGTGATCTTAGCGCATATTTTTTAACCTTGCGTCTCGATAATATTCGGATAATGTGCCTACCATCGAAGTCGTACACGCGCATACCAGCTTTGATATTCTGCATTTCAACGCTTTCAGTACGAAATAAGTGTACTTGGGTTACCGTCCTGGTGGCTCGGGAGCCCACGACATTTTGCCGATGGACAAAATGTCGTGTGTTCGAGTCCCAACAGAAGTGACAGAAATAATAACGCAAACTACAGAAAGGTGGGTCGACTCTACACGGCACGGCGTAATGCGAACTTTCAAAAATATTGGCTACTGAGAATGGTAACTACCCTCTAGCCAATGGGTAGTGCTGCTCTAACTAAAGTGTTTAAAACTGATTACGAGCAGGGCACAAACTGTGGTATTCGAAATGGTAAATGGCCTATGTTTCCTTCAAAGACGCCCTGAACAACCCCTGTAAAAACAAGGAACGAGCGTTTTGTTCGCCATTTGCCTTTCCCGCCATTCCAACACAAGTCGTCATGCGAGCGCTTTGTTTGCGTGACGTCATGAGAAAATGAGCTCTCATCACATTCGTAAACGATATCTGTCGTCTCCCGCTTTGCTTTACCACGCATTCCCACGCCTTTTCTGCCCTGTCTCGCATTATTATCGCGTCCGATAACCTGACTTCTTTCGTGCGCTTTTGAAAGCATAAGTGCAGATAACAGCGTGCAATTGCAAAGCACGTATTTTTTACAAGCTGCAAGCCATGCGGTAATACGTTGGCTACCTGATTTATTATTAAATAATTCGCAAAAAAGAGAGCATTGGTAGAAACGGTAGTGAAGTGCGTAAACGAAAGTGCTTGTACGTTATTGAACTTGGAACCTTTAGAAGCCTGTGAAGTGTGCGACGCTGGAGTGTCACTTGGCGGTCTCATCTCGGCAAGTGCAGTATCCCCTAGCGCCGAGGACGGTAGTTATAGCACGAGAACAGGACGACGACACAGAGACAAGAAGGACACGAAAGAATTGTCTCTGTGTCGTCGTTCTGTTCACGCGCTATAACTATCGTCATGCCATATCAACTAGCCCAAGCTGCCACACTCCCGAGGACGGCCAACATTGGAGGCTGTTTTCCATGCAGTATTAGCGGCGGAAAACGGCAAGGTGGCCGGATATCCGCGGAACGACATACGAATGGCAACTCGTGCTATAAATACCATGCGCTTAAATTTAATGAAGAGCTGAAGCACTTCGGGTGCTCAAAAATAATTCAAAGTCCTTCGCTATAGCATCATTGATTTTTAACCCTTTTTGAAGAAGTCGCGACAATGTGGTAGCATGGTTAGAAGGATTGTGAAGGCGAGAAAGAAACCACTCTAGTGTTTCAACTCGGTGTTTTGAGAGCCCCCTAAAGTAGTTTCGTCCATGGTCGAGTGTAGCATAAATGCTCTGGCACTTAGTGGTCTCATTATAACAAGCCCCTTTCCACGCGAATGAAGTGCACCCAAAACTATAAGTACACTGGCCTCTAATCAGACATTACTAGAATCTGGAAAAAAATGCCCATGTTCAAACCACTCCAGGCTATCGGGTTGTCTAGACGACACTCCTGAAATCAAACGCAAGCACTCACGTTCGGACTGGCCGTCGTCCACGGGCTTCATCGCGGTCGTCCAATTCCGCAAACACTCCGGGTCCAAGAGTGAGGGCGCGTCCGCTAAGAAAGCCACGGGTAAGGTATCCGCGAAGATGGTCTCCGAGCTTCCGACGGCACCTCGCGGGGTGGCTTCACCAGGGCGTGTCTACCACACGCACCAGGGTCGGTGTAACGCATCGGGTCGGGGGAGGAGCGACCGTGAAGCCACTGTCTGTCGTCGAAGCTCGTCAAAGCGAGCTGCCGACGAGTGCACGTGTGGGCAGCGGACGAGCGTTCCTTTCTGTGACAGAGCGTGCAGTGCGGCTTCATCCGCGACGAATACCCAGATTGGGACAGCTGGCGTTGCGCTATCCGCAGCACGTGCATTCCTACTCAAAGCAACGAGCATGCGCGCTTATCGATGCAGTATCCCACTCTCTCTGTCTCTTTCCTTTGCCTTCCTTTCTCCTTCTGTTTTTTTATTAGTGCTGCGCGTTGTCATTGCCTTATTCCGGCAAACAACAACGAGTTCGCTTGGTCAGCAAAGTGCGCAGCAAATAGAGCGCACGTCCGCCTTCTCCGCCCGCAGCAGTATTTTGTCCTATTGTACCTACCACGATGGTTTAGTGCTCATGGCGCTCAACTGAGGGCCCGAAGGTGGCAGATTGCTTGACGTCCATGTGTCCTTGGTTCAAGTGCACGTTAATGATGCCCAGGGTGGCATGTTCGTAGGCGAGATTTTCTCTTGGGACGTGGAAGCCAGTGTTACATCGTGGCTTAGGGTAGAGGGACATCCCAGTTGTCCCTTGGGTGACTGCAAGTGCTGTCGAGCCTTTAGGGGGACAAATGCCCCTTTCGCACCCCCCTGCCGATGCCAGGTGGTCCCAATTTCCGGAGCCTTCCTCTACGGCGTGCTGCGTAATCACACGGCGGTTTCGGGACGTTCAACCCCAACAATGCTTATTACCTTTGCTCTAGGTAACTGATCAATTTGTGGCCATGAATGATTCACCCGTGTCACTTACGGACCTCCGCATAATGACTTACCTAGACAAAGCTTCCGAGAAATAGGGAATATAATAAATCTCTTTCTTAAGGTGAAAACCTTTAGGTACTTCGAAAAAACGTAAAGTGGCAGTAGTAGAATAGCCAACATATTATCGCAACGTTTCGACGTCACGAATCACCGATGTTCGCGATTTCGTTGGGATGCTGCGTAACGTGACTTCACATGGTGACATGCATTAGCACAAGTGACACTGTCGCTTGTTCAAAACTAGGCTGATTCCGGATGGACTGCAAAACTGGGTGAGGTCTGGAAAAGTTGTAACGCATACGATCACGGTGGCAAGTGCTACTCAACATTAGGCGCAGAAGGTTGTTGGGGAGGTTGATTTGGGGTTCAAAACAATAGACGAAGAACAAAATGAATCTTTAAGTGCCTGGTATTTGTATGATTTCAACTGCCCCGCCATTTTGCAACTCCACGCCAATGGCTCTTAACATACCATTCACAGTAAAGATACGCCTTGACCAGCACTATAGTTTCGGAATCCGTCAAGCAACTGATAATATACCTATATAAAGAAACCACCAATATGCGCTGCATTGGGTGGGGGGCTGTACGATTTGAGACCTTATTTAGATTCGGTGATCTTAGCTGTTGATTTTCTTTCTAAATTATTCCATTCTTTACGAAAGTATGTGTGCGCACTTGGGCTATGCAGCGATGTACGGCATCGATTTGCTCTTTTATGCCTTAACAAATGGTGATAACCCTCAGAGTTGTAGCCAGAATTTTTTTTCTTAGGATGGGCGGAGGCTAAGGACACTTCCTTTTGGCTACGCCAGCAATGCGTGCCGACGCTGGAAGAAGTATTACTTAACAGACCATTTCAGTTATGCGTTAACATGATCGAAGCATCAACCGCGAAACCGACATCCACTGTCATCATCGTTAAAGAGGGCCCATGGGACGCCCTCTCCCTGGCTTCGCCTTCGCAAAAGCGATAGTTAGACTAGAGCTTTTGTTAGGGCTAGTTGGTACATTCTTAAAACATATATCAGGAGCGTTTCGAATTGGGCTTGTGTGTAATTTATCAGGACGTAAATAATTACGCACACGAAACAGAGTCAGTTCAGTTGAATAAACTTTATTGGCCTATCGATTTTATCCGGGCCTAAGCTGATAGAGATCTGCTATTCAAGGAACATCTTCCGAGGTCCACGGCGACAGCCCTGGCCTGCTGCAAAAGTAAAAAAAAAAAGAAAAGAAAACTGGTGGACAGACGAAGCCCTGCAGACTTGCGCTTGCTCTAACCATTTGTATTTCGTCTACTGGCCAATTTCTTACGAGGCTGAAATGGCTTTGGCCAGTTAAAATAGAACCAGACATTTCGGTGCCGATTTGGTTTTTTCCTCAGGATAGTCCACAGCTAGACGTACAGCATTGCTGGGCGGAAAAACACTCAAAAAAGGCGTCGCCTTCCCTTAGTCTGGCTTTTTAGTCATGCGTCTTGAACGGTAAATTCTCGTAGCCCTTTCCACGCGTCCGGGTGAGTAGAGACGTTACGTTCACTTATGTAAAAATGTAAACAGTTCCCTTCACCCAACTGCCTCCAACTTACCTTTTGCTCATTATCTCATGTCCGCCGTTCAGCTCTCAGCTGTTGGATCTTGGCAGTCACAGCGGCCTTCTTTCACATCACTCTTCTTTTCCTTCCACCACCCCCCCCTTTTTATCTGTAAATATTTGTCCCAATAAAGAACCACTCACTACTTCGCCAGGGGAGGAATTTCTAGCTACAATGCGTCCCCGCGTTCGACCAAGCAAGAGTGCTTTGCTTCGCACGTGGACGACGACAGTCCCGTCATTGTGGGTGCACGTACGGTCCCACACCCATAATTGGTCTTTCCAGGAAACGCCATCTCGAGCGGTGGCTGACGAAGGATCTTTTTTTGTCTGTCGCCTTCCAAGTCTTCAGAGCTAATTTGGTCGCATGTGTATTCAATGCTCTGTTGGCAGTAAGTGCTCGTCGTTTCTGTCTACCTGATCCCTCTTAACGGGGCACCGCAACAATAAAGAAAGGCGAGTCGAGGGTCACGGTGTCTCCGAAAGCGCTCCGGCTCAATCAATGCTACTCAGCCCGTCTGCGCCTGACCCGATACATGTGATCACGTGACCATAGGTCGGCAAAAAAAAGTGAACCTCATTCGTAGTCACTCACTGAAATATAATTGCTACATTCATTGGAGGTTGTGGCCAGGTACTACACCAGGATAGGCCAATCCTGCTCTGGTGAGGGAGTGCCTTACCGGCAGCTGTTCGCCAGTGAGGCCGCACTCTAGACCTCTTGTATTTTTTTTTCTTCTTTAACAATTACTTCGTCATGCGTTTCAAGTAAATGTGCGATTCGGAATGGTTCGGTATCTGCATTCGTCCCCGAAAAGCACACATCCGAGCTGTCTGAAGTTCTTCAAGCAATCCCTAATGTAGGTCTGGCGCTGAAAACGCACTTCACCGAGTGCAAATTCGTGCCTTTACTAAAGCATACAACACGCAGTGACGTAAATGTGCTGAGCCAGTCATATATTCGGAGAAATTTCGTAAGTCACATAGCATCCACGTACATGGTAACAAATGAAGACATCGCACGGCAACATCTCTCTCTATACATAAAAAATTTACATATACAAAACCAGTGAGCTGTAGCGTATAAACTGATGGACTTGTCGTATTTTTAGACAGCTGTTCGCGAGAATGTTCACAGGTGTGTAGATGAACAGGTGCAATTGTTCTGACATTCAAATGGTTTCCTTTCCGTTCCGCAATAAGTTAGGACCGGGAGAAAGCTAGGGGCAATAGAAAGTATGATTGCTCCCACATGCATCATAATATTATTCCCTCTTAAACAAGGCATAATGCTACACATCTAACCTGTTCGTTACTATCGCTGACCGACTATTTCGGTTTTATAGCAGAAATGAAATATCAACCATTCCATTAAAACCCTGTCCAACTATCAATTAAATTACAACAATTACACAACCATCCAAGTTTAGCTTACGACGTACAATGATAAACCGTCCCTAAATGGTACGGCCAGTTTTGTGCTGTTGACGTACGGTTGCTCATTTATTGCGCTGTGTCGGCATACTGCTACCTATCCGGTCATTTTTCAGCGTTGCCTTTTCTTAGCATATCATTTGTTACCCACGTGGCACGTACTTCTATGCTAGTTTACCAACGACAACTTCGTTTTTCACAGCGTTCATCAAAACAGCGGTAAACATACGTTGCTCCGAAATTTTATGTTTTTTTTTTTATTTTCAGTAATCCGTACCTGTTTGTGACGCCTGGCGGTGATATACAGAGATAAGAGACCCGGGCACCGATTCTGTCGGGCCATTCATTTTTCTGTATTTCTTTTTCTGGCAGTCTCGGTATATATATGCCTCCAGGCTGAAAAAAAAATCGGCCAAAATTCAGCGTGGTTGGTTGTTCCTCAAGAGCCCTGGCGCAACCCACTACGGGGGATCGGCCATGAAACAGACTGCACCTCATCTATGAAATGAAAATTTTTTTACCAGGCGAGATGTTTAGATATAAATGTTTTAACAAAGCACAGATTGAAAAATTTTGTATTAAAGATAGAATAAATAAAGGAAATAAAAAAGAGAACCCCACAAGCTAATATGGTTGGAAACAAAGTTAATTTATGCCTAGGCTCAACATTCTATTCGTTTTGGTTCATTTAGAAAATCGCACACGGTCTCGCAAATGTTTCAGTGGCTGAATCATTTTTCAGTTGCTTCAAATTAAAGCACCACCGGAAGAGATAAATTTAAAGCAAACCTACAGAGGGGTTCTTTTAACTGTCTCTTTCACTGATATGTAAATAACCTGCATGTTAAGAAGAAATTATGCAGAGATTAACTCGCCGTCATTTCTTTTCAACTTGCTGGTTGTTCGTCGTCCCTTGATCACTTTGTGCTCTGTCGTCGTCGTCGTCGTCGTCGTCGTCGTCGTCGTCGTTGTTGTTGTTGTTGTTGTTGTTGTTGTTGTTGTTGTTGTTGTTGTTGTTGTTGTTGTTGTTGTTGTTGTTTGAATCCCACTACTCGCCACTGGTGCCCCAGAAATAGAGACAGCAGTTGGCCAATCAAACGTGTATGCGCCATATATGGAAGCTTGTTTTGCCCCTGCAAAAACATCATAAAAGCGTTAGGGCCATAGGAATTTCCTCTAAGCTGCATGTGATTTCCTTCGCATGCGATTTCTTCTAAGGAGTAAGAACACACGCAATTTCCTCCAAGAAGTAAGAAGGCAATAATTGTTCCAACAA